CTGGTGCTGGTGCTGGTGCTGGTGGTGTTGGTGTTGGTGTTGGTGTTGGTATTGGTGTTGGTGTTGGTGTTGGTGTTGGTGTTGGTGTTGGTGTTGGTGTTGGTGTTGGTGTTGGTGTTGTTGGTGGTGGTGGTGGTGGTGGTGGTGGTGATGTTGTTGGTGTTGGTGTTGTTGTTGGTGTTGTTGCTGCTGTTGTTGTTCCTGTCGTTGTCGTTGTCGTTGTCGTTGTCGTTGTGGTTGTTGTTGTTGTTGATGTTGTTGCTGTTGCTGTTGCTGTTGCTGCTGCTGCTGCTGCTGCTGTTGTTGTTGTTGTTGTGGTTGTTGTTGTTGTTGTTGTTGTTGTTGATTATGTTGTTGTTGTTGTTGTTGTTGTTGTTGTTATTCTGCCTCTTCTTGCGTTTGCGGTTGTGTCTGGTGCTGTTGCAGTGTCTGTTGTTGTTGCTGTTGTTATTGAGGTTGCGGTTGTGTGCTGCTGCTACCGCTGGTGTTGCTTGTTGTTTTGCTTTGTGCTCATGTTTCTGCCTCTTGCAGTTGCAGTTTCTATTGTTGTTGTGGTTGCTGCTGTTGTTGCTGTTGCTGTGTTTATTGTTGATGTTGTTGCTCCTGCTTGTTGCTGTTGCCATTGCTGATCGCATTGCTGTTGCTGTTGCTCCGCAGCGGAGCAGCTTCTGCAGCGTTACTGCCACGGCAGTACCTGGTAGTAGTCGTTGAACAGCATGCAAAGCAGTATCTGGAAACCACGGTAGGCTCGGGTGGGCTTTTATTGCTCCTTGCGCCGATGCCGAGCATCGTGGCAACCCTAATGTAGGGGCCTTAGTAATTAGAACAGGGTTTTTTTGGGGGGGGGTTCCTCATTATAACTATAGTATAGTATACCCCAAACCCTATTCTAATTATTAAGGCCGCTGTATAAACTGTAAGGCGCCTGAGCGAAGAAAACGCAAGCACTGGTGTTCCCGGAAAGAGCGCCTCCGGAGGTCCTGAATCATCCTCCTGTCAGTTACCGCTGCCCCCCCAAATGCTCAAGACAAGAGGCGCTAAACCCTTAGAAGCCTTAAAGCCCTATATCCTAAACCCTATGTGGGCAGTTTTCTAAATTAGGGTCCCTTTGAGGGTCGTTTTTATAAGGGTGCCGTACTATGTTGGGGACCTATAAAGGGAACCTAAGTCAGAGAACTACCTATGTTCAGTATACAGCTGAAATCGAGGTGCGCACTTTGGGCCACGACCTGGCCAAAGCAGCCGCGGCCTCGGCCTCTCCGGGCTTTGCGGATCTACTCAGACCACAGATTCACAACAATCCTTAGGGTTCCGGGCTTCGGGTTTAGGGTTTGCAGTTTAGGGTTTAGAGTTTAGGGTTTAGGGCCTAGGGTTTACATGGTTTAACAACAACAGCAGCAACAGCAAACTACGACGGTTGCCGCTGCACTTTTTGTTTTTGTGGACGGGGTGATGGTGGTGGGTGGTGGCGGCGGCGGTGGTGGTGGGGCTGTTGTTCTGCTACTACAGGGTCGGCGACAAGTACTGTTTTCTCTCTGGAACCCCAAGCCCGAAACCCAAAAGGCCCTAACCCCCAAACCTCGTCCTGATTAGTTGTCCCTGTCGATATTGAGGTCGGGACCTGTGGCCACGTGGAGCCTGAAGCTCGGTGTGCCCCTGGTTGAGGTGAACAGCCTTCAGGTTTTAGGGTGGTTGCACAAAGGGTTAAACGTAACGTGCTATAAACACGCGTAATAAGAGTAGTGATTCTGCACTAACGTGGTATAGGTTGCTATAGTATAGGTAGTATGTTTCATTTTAAGTTCATGCACACTTACACTAATTATATAAACACATATGTACATACGTACGCAGGTCGGGGAAAAGTCAGGCACCAGCCAACTAAGTTATCTCTGATATCTTCCTCAAGCCCCAATAACTCTACTTACCTGAACCTTTAATCTACTAAGCGTCACATAGGGAGCGGTATATAGTTTATCGGACCACGAAGCGGCTACCTTGGCATGACCCTATCCTAAGCCCTGAGTTGCACGCCTCCAACTCTAAACAACAGAAAACCGAAACAACCCCAATCCCTGAACCTTGAACCGATGACTGCATCAGTAAGTTTTAAGCCACCCCAGGAAACTGATATACCCCTGCTGACAACTGTCCACGCAGCTTCAAGTGAAGCCTAGACCCTAATTCAAACGATTCCTGCAAGCACCCTTCAACCTCGTTCAACCTTGAGTAAAGCGATTGTCAGCTGTCCGAGAAGCGCACCATGCTTGCATATTGCGACAACTGTCCTAAGCCTTGCTTGGTTAAGTGCGTGCGGGTTCGGGATGTGGTATTAGCATGTGGGAGTTTTCATATCCATCCTCACAATCCTCCGCCAGCTGATTCTGGGCATCACATAAAACAAAGCTCTTCGCTTCCGTTGCGCCCAAAACCCTAAACCCCTAAACCGGAACCACCTTAGAGTAGACTTCCTGGGTTTGAAGCAGTATCTTCAAAAGCACCCAAGCTACTCGCTTGGCGGCAGCGCCTACGCGCTTTGCACGTATGTTTTTCCATGTACCATCAGAGCATCTGTGGCGCATGGCGATCATAAAAACCCGGAGCCCTAAACCCTACACCGCAAACCAAACCCAAAATCAGGTCGCTTCGCCGAACGGCTGTGGGTGAATTCCTCGAGGCCGCTTGTGGTTTTGTTGGAGCCCTTGGGTTTAGGGTTTAGGATTCAGTACCCTGCATTCGGGGTCTGTACTCTGAGCTCTGTTCTGTGTAAAAACTGTAGCGTGCAAGTTATAAGGTCATGGCTTCGTTGTTTTGAAAGTCGCCCGGATATGCAGTGAGATTCCTGCAAAAGCGCACAGCGCAGAGATCAAGACTTCGACAACAGCAGCGTTCCCCATCTTGTCATCGTGCAATTATGTTTGAACCAACAGCTCAGCAAGTAGAGCACTAGCAGAGCGCCCCAATACCAAGCAGGCAGTTCCGTGGTATTTCCCTGGCCCCACCCTAAAGCCCTTAACCCGAAGCCCAAAATTACAGCCTGAACCCGACGGCCCAAAACCCCAAAGTTCTTTGCAATAGAAAAGCGAATTCTGTGTCACGCCGACTAGGGTTTGAGGGCTTGGGGTTTAGACCTCGCCTGGCTTGTCTGAGTTGCAAGAGTGTAAAGCTTTAAGCAGCACCTGGAGTGTCCCTCATAGAACGCTCCAAGACCCTGTGAGAAGTCCTTTCAGAAGCCCAGGCCCTCTGAGTCAAGCCTAAACCTGTAAACCCAATAAAACCCTAAGCCTTACATCCTAAGCCCTGTAAGCCCAATAAAACCCTAAGCCCTAAATCCTCAGCCCTGTCAACCCAATAAAACCCTAAGCCTTAAATCCTAAACCCTGTAAACCCAATAAAACCCTAAGCCTTAAATCCTAAACCCTGTAAGCCCAATAAAACCCTAAGCCTTAAATCCTAAGCCCTGACAATCCAACAAAACCCTACGCCCTGAACCTCAGAGGCTGAATGCCTTTCCTTGGAAGCTGCCCAAGATCCCGAGCAGATCGCACCCAGGCATTTGGGTTTCAAGAAGTTTTAGGGTTTAGGGTTTAGGGATCGCACCCAGGCATTTGGGTTTCAAGAAGTTTGCGGGCTTTTAGCAGGGTTTGAGGGTGTAAGGGTGGAGGGTCTAGGGGCTTAGGGCCTATAGGGCTTGAGGTGGTGAGGTTGAGGAGTGTGGAGACTTGTTTGAGGTTGAAGGGGCTAGGAATTCAGGGTTTGAGGGAGCATGACATGGGCTTGCATGTGCCCAGTGAATATCTGGGTTACCAATCTGACAAGGCTCCAGGTACACAATTCGTGCTTATTTTGGGGTCTACAGTCTCCAAATAATGCTTCCTTCGCGCTATTTGGAGCATTGGGAAGACTGTTTATGCCTTCAGGTAAGACGTCCCGGCGCTGTGCTCCAGTAGCTTCGAGAGGGACAGCTTGCCCCCTTCGAGGGCAAACCACAACAAACAGTATCTAGCAACATCAGGCGGCCAACCTTGCAACCCAGAGAACAGTGTGGGGAAAGATCGGGCTGTTTCTACGCCCCCTTCAGAAGCCCTAATCCTAAAGAATGCCCTTTACCCTAAGCCATACACCCCAAACTCGAAACCGTAAACCTGAACCATGAACAACCCAAGCCCTAGACCCTCAACCCTAAACCCTAAACCCGTGTCAGCCTACAGTCCAGTTGCTTGATCTAGTTGGACACAAGAGACCTCGTCTGGCGGAGTCCGAGTTGCGAGAGCGTAAACCCTAAAACCTTAAACCCTAAACCTTAAACCCTAAACCTTAAACCCTAAACCTTAAACCCTAAACCCTAAACCTTAAACCCTAATCTCTAAACCTTAAACCCTCTAAAAACCTCAAAGCTCCAAAACCCCAAAGCTCCTCGAGGCTCCGACGGGTGGCGGTTCCGCTTCCGCCCAGGCCCTCCCGTCATTTAGGTTTTAGGGGTTTGAGGGTTTTTGTTTGGAATTGAGGTTGTAGGGTTTTTGTAATTTAGGGTTGTAGGTTTAGGGTTTGGAACTTAGGTTTGAGGGTTTTATTGTTTTGGGTTTGGAGTTTAGGTTTTAGGGTTTAGGGCAGAAGTTGTCAATGTGAGTTTGTAAACACGCGTGCTGCTTGACTCGCCTTGCCCCGGCAAGACTGCAAGAGGCCTGGATGCAAGAAGGGTAAAGGCGAAGTTTATCGTTGAGGTTGGGGTGTTTTGGGTGAGTTCAACGTTTGGGGTTGGGTGTTCAGGGCTCCATTTGCTTGCTCGGTATCTACTGTTGATATTAAGCTAGATGGATTTGTCTGGCTTTGTCGCCGGCATTTGGGGGAGATAGGGATTTAGGGTGAATATTTTTTGAATCGTGGTATTCATTCCCCAAACAGTGGCTGCACTATGGGGTTCTTACGCTAACAGTAGATCAACAAGAATCACTCAAATTATGTTCTTTCCGCAGTCCCGCTTCAGACACCGAGTGCTTTGTAAAATCCAACATTCAGGCCGAAACACCTCAGTCAGCCACGGTCCCCTGCGCCTCTGCGTCGCGAAGTCGTGCTCTCACAACAGTGCCGTATCTGCGTTGCCAGTCCTGCTCCAGCCAAAGTGTGGTATGCATTCTGGAGTCACGGGGCGGTCGAGAGGTCAGGGGTTCTCCTGACACGAGTGTTGCTATGTAATTAGGGCTTCGACTGCTCTGACACAGGCAGTGTTTCGGGTTCCTATATATTATGTAGGCTCTAGATTTATTCGTAAGGCTGGCAGTAGAAGCCCGAAAGTTGGAAACCCAATAGCCTCAATCCGTTAAGACTAATGTATAGCTTGATCCGGTTTCCGGCTTTCTGGGGGTTACTATATCTAAGCTTGAAGCCAATTGCCTTGCATTCCAGGCGGCGGCGTCCGTTCACCGGGACTTCGCCGGACACGGCAGACGGCAGTGTGGAAGAAAAGGGTCTCAATCGTCGTGTAGGGCTTACAGTATGTGGTAAGGTTTATGATGCTGTATGTGTTTTATACGGGATATAGATGCCGTGCTCCCGTCAATGACGAGCTCGAGCTTTCTACTACAGTAGGTTAAGGCTGCGGTTGAGACTCCTTCGTTTGGACATGCACTTGCCCGTGTCATGCATATCCATAAACCCTGAGATGTTTTGCAGCTGTAAATCGTGCAATGCAACACATGTCATGCCTGTGTCACGTATGTCCATGTCATGGACCGGAGACGTTGTACTTGTAGCTGTGAATGGCGCCCTGCAGCCATGTTGGAATATACTTACTCCGCAGCTACAGAAGCGTGTCTGGAAAGAGACGCTTTCGATGACTGTGAAAGTTTACGGCCTGCAATGTCCGAACATGCATGCATACATGCATGCATGCATGCATACATACAAACAGCTGCTTGACGCGCTTCTGTTTCAAGGCTCACCTCAGCAGTGCTAGGACCGCATTTGCACAGGTCTCCTGATGCCCTCGAGAACAACCCCAAGCCCCCAAGGGAAGAGTAGCCATCGGTTTAGGGTTTGGGGTTTAGGGTTTAGGGTTTAGGGTTTAGGGTTTAGGGTTTAGGTGGAGCATCCAAGCGCAGATCGGGACTGCTACTAAGATCGGTACCCCTGTTTCCAACGAAGCATGTCCCACATGGCCTCGTTCCAGATGGAGCCGGCAACGCCCCTTCCGAGGAAACCGGGCTGTTGGATTTGGGATCTAGAGCCGGTTTGGGGTTTAGGGCTTCAAGTTTAGGGCATAGGTAGAAGGAGTCGGAGGTGGAAGGTATGGCTTAATTCTCAGCACAGAAGGATTACCTTGCTGACTTGCGACCGCAGTCAGATCAATGTCAGAACATCTTGCATTGAAGCCTCAGCATGCCCCGGAACCCTAAACTGGGAGCTAGGATTAGGGGGACCTTTGGGGATATAGACCCTCTCAATAAGGTCCCTTTTAAGAGAGCCACAAGTAGGGTTCAGAAGGGGTACCCTTTAAGGGGTACCCCTAATAATACTACCTATAAACCCTGCCCCAACAACCCACCTGGCCATCCCGGTTCCTGGATCTAGCACTGCAAGACCGATTTGAAAAAGCAAGCCTTCATCCAGGCCCTACGCCCTCAGCCTATACTGATAATGATATAGACTGATACTAATACCAGGTGTTATACACCAAGACACGTCTTTTCTGAGCAATTTACGGAGCCATATCCTGAAGCTGTGGCGCTCCAAGACCGTGATTACATGGGGCACTATGGCTCCCGCTGCTGCTTGAAGACTTCTGCCCCTACCTTTCCGACGGCCTACGGCAGATCTGAGGCCTCCAATGCCCACGGTGCACATTCTGCCCGATCCACCCTCGAAATGGGCGGTCTTCACGACGGTGCGACTTGGCGCTAGGCTTGCAGGAAACGAGCGGTTATGCACATGGGACCTTCTGGGCCGTAAGTTGTGGCACAAGTGATGGCAGCTGGAAGTGTAGGATCGTCTCTGATTTACGACTTCGGTGCGGTTTCAATCTGCTTCTTGGAACAGCTTTCAGTTTTTTGGCTTAGAATGTCCGGATACCAGGGTATCACGCACTCTCTCTCTCTCTCTCTCCCAGCGTCTTTTTCCGTGTGTCTTTGAGCGACTGCGTGTGTTGCAGAAAGTTTACCGAAATTCGTCTCGCAGACCACCTATAAAGCCCTACAAACCCCTGACATACCCCATAGACCCCTTACAAGCTTCGTTTTTACTTAAATTTTGTCCCTTATCAACCCGTTGTAGAAAACTTGTCATCATAGGGATTTATAAAGGGTTCATAAGGGGTGGGACATGGTTTTATGCAGGGTTCATTTGGGCTTTGAGTTGGTTTTATTGAGAGACCCCTCATTAGTGCATAAAGCCAAGTAGTACCACTCCTTCTGAACCTCTTATAGCTCGGCTCTGAAACTCAGGCCCTGCCCCTGCCTAGTATAGGGGCCTTAATAATTAGAACAGGATTTTGGGGGTTCCTTATTATAACTATAGTATAATATACCCCAGAACCCCATTCTAATTATTAAGGCCCCTACATGATAGCTTCACAGGGGTACCTGCAAGGACGGCAAGCGAGTAAGCGCAAGCAGTAAGCAGACTTAGTTTTTAGGTTTACGGCGTTTTAGGTAACTCTTTCGGGGCAGAAGTAAAATTTCTCTCCAGATACTGAAAACTCTACTGACAGCTACCCATAGGCCCCATAGTAGTTCCTTTTTGGGATTCATATTTAGAATCCTATAAGGTAATCCCAAAAAGGGACTACTATGGGGCCTATGGGTACCCATGAACCCGCCCGGTTTCGATTGAGAAGGGTCTTTTCTTAGCCTGGAGCCAAAAGGCGAATCCAGCCGAGGTTGAGCAAGCACCTCTATGTTGCTCGCAAACGGCATCTGAGATGAACATGGTAGAGGGTTTGAAGTTTAGGAGTTTAGGGTTTAAGGGTTACGAGTTGAAGGAGTTTAGGTGCTTTGACTGTGCTTTGACTCGTACCCACCACTTTTCCCTATCCTGGCCTGCCGCGTGCAGTGGGGGCTGCACCTAAAGCGCGCAGATTTTCATTCCGGCAATGCCGTTACAGTCTTGCCATCCAACTCAAAACCGCAACCCTCAAGTTTTCATACCTTTATTGGAGCTAGAACTTGCTCCGGCGCGTCCTGGAACTGGACTGGTTGGCTGAACCCTATCTGTCCCTCAGATGCCTGTGGAGCTTGTGCAGGATCACCCGTATAGAGTCAGATGCACAACTACCGAGAGGGAGAGGTCCATGAAGCTGGAGGATACTGTTGTTCCAATTGTCCTGCTTGAAATGCAAAACGAGCAAGGTGCAACCACATTGTTAGGGGGCATTCAGTCCCCCGTAGCTTAGATCCCTAAACCCTAAACCATAAACCCTAAACCCTAAACCCTTAGCTCCTTAAGCATGGTGAGGGGAAGGCTGCTGAGGTTGACCTAGCAAGCCCTTACCAGCTCTGCAGCTTCGCGGCCAGGATTCTGAGTTGGTTAGGGGTTTAGGGTTTGGGGCTTAGGGTTTAGGGCTTAGGGTTTAGGGGCAATTTAGGGTTTAGGGTTTCCTGTCACACTAAACTCAATAATCGGAAGTAACAACAAGCGAAGTTCCGGAATAAATATAGGGCTCAGGGGCCCGAGTCTTGAACCCTACCTCATAACGGGGACCAAGCGGCACAGATAAGGTCCTATCTGCAACCTGTGCTTCTGCCGAAGACTATGCAAAATAAGATTGACAGTGGTTGATGCCAGATATGATAAGACGTAGATAGCCAATGGGAGTACTTTAAACCTGTACCTTACATAATTGATGCATAATTAACTAATACATATATATATATATATATATATATCAGGTCTATTTTAAAGGGTAGATTGTTGTTCGGACCTGGTTATGTGAAGGAGAGAATATAGCTGGCTCCAGAAACAGAGAGAGAGAGAGAGAGAGAGAGATCCGAAATCAGCTGGTTTGGCCCTGTGAGCTTCCTTGCATGCCTCAGGAAGCGACTTCTGACGAGCATATGGCCTGCCTTAATGTACGGGGTCCTGTCTGTGGTCTTCTTCCACGTCATCTGGCTGGCAATTGGTCATGAAAGTAGCGGTCGTACAGATGAGACAATCGTTAGCATGATGGTCTAGTTCTATCGCTAGATAGCAGTACGGTCAGATGCCCATTGGCAGTTCAATGCATTTTCTCACGGAGCTCTGGAAAGTTCTGTAACGAAGCTACAGCGGTAAGCATGTGCAGACCTGCGCAACACGTCTGCTTTATCACTGCTCTGCCGTGCTTGTTACATCTATTGTCAAAGGGGTGTTGAACGGATACATGGCGTTGCGGTGATCGTAGCAATGTAGCCATAGCAACAGCAGGTTTCAGCGGTAATTACACAGAATCAGCACTGATTGAGTCTCGACCTCTTCAGATCTTTGCGGATCTTCCCGCGGATTTGGGTGCAATATTCATGGCCATCATGATCCCGCTGTACATGGGCTTTGCTGCGCCTTGGCACCCAAGAAATGGAAAGCATGGTTCTTCTCCAGGCATTTTCAGCCCAACAGACCGTCGTTGCAAAATGTCCTCGTCTGAACTTGTTGTTGTCAGTCTGAAATATTGGAAAGCGTCCCTAACACCTGGTCATCCTCTTGAACTGCAGTATGGTGGGGTTGAGAGCTCCCTGCTGTGTATTCCCTCGACACATGAGTACCGGCTCACAGTCAGAATTTCCTGAATAAATTTGCGAATAGTTGGATTATTTGGTAAGGGCCCGGGGACTTTGCAACGGACGATGGTGCGGTTTCTATTTGCAGCAATTTGCGACTGGAATGTGGGCTCCGGCTGGAGGGTGGAGTTTCTGGGGCGTAGGGTTTTGGGTTTAATGTAGGGGCCTTAACAGTTAGACTAATTAGACTAGGGTTTTTTGGGGGGTCCTTATTCTCCCTAAACCCTAAACCTTAAACCCTATTCTAATTATGGTATTATAGGCCCCGAAACACGCGAGAGTCGAAACCCTGACTAAGCCCTGAACCATCCTGAACCCTAAACCCTAAACCGTAATGTAGGGGATTTAATAATTACCTATATTTTTTTTGGGGGGGGTTCCTTCCTATATCAAATTATAGTATAAGAAAAATCTCCCAACTTTATTCTAATTTTTTAGGCCCCTATCTTAACCCCTAAACCCTAAACCCTAGTCCTCACAAGGCCAGCCACCAGCCCTGAGAGCCGCGATCGAGAGGTCCAATCTGCGCTGACGAATGCTATCATCGAAGTCGTCAATGAGAAGGAGTCGAAGATGAAGGCAAAGAATAAGGGTTTAGAGTTTAGGGTTTAGGGTTGAGTCGAAGATGAAGGCAAAGAATAAGGGTTTCGGGTTTAGGGTTTAGGGTTGAGTCGAAGATGAAGGCAAGCAAAATGGGTTTAGGGTTTAGGGTTTTTGCAGGCTGGATGCAAAAAGGGTCTAGGGTCTAGGGTTGAGTCGAAGTTGAAGGCGAAGAATAAGGATTTAGGGTTTAGGGCTTAGGGTTGAGTCGAAGATGAAGGCAAGCAATAGTAAGGGTTTTGGGTTGAGCTGGGGGCTTCTTGTTCGGAATCTCCAAGCCCCCGAGTTTCAAGCTAATTGGGATGTACTGTAAATAAATATAGGTTTCTGTATTCCGATAACTTAATATCAAGCCAGCAACCAGACACCCAGGCTAATCATTCACAATGAAGCTCTGACCATGAAGCAGCACTGGTATTCAGCAATCGACTTTAGGGTTTAGGATTTAGGGTTAGGGTTTAGGGTTTAGGGTTTAGGGTTTAGGGTTTAGGGTTTTGGTTTAGGGTTTAGGGTTTAGGGTTTAGAACCAGGATGTGGTCCTAAACCTTGGCGGCGATTCTTCACAAAAAAATCGCCCGATTTCCCCAAACCCCGAGACCCTCCAACATCCTGGCCGAGGAGCACAAGTTGCCTTCATTTGCCAGTAATTTAGAAGCTTCAATAATTACCAACATTGTTCCGTAGGGTTCCTGATTATACCTAAAAACTATAAAGGAGCCCGCAACCCTATTCTAATTATTGAGGACCCTACATTACTTTGCGCAAAGAGCAGGGGTCCGACTGAAGCAGGAACAGAGCAAGTGACCTTGGCAAAACCGGGACCTAAGTTCACAACTTTGAAGAAGTAACATAGGGACCTTACTAATTAGACTAGGGTTTTGGGGCCCATTATACTATAAATATAATAAAGAACCCACAAAAATATCACAGGCAATTGTTTAGGCCCCTACAGTAACAACTCGCTAAGCTTAGACTCTTTGATGTGCTCCCTATGTATGAAGCGTCGGTTGCTCTAGGGCTTAGTTAGGGTTGGAAAGGTAGGGTTAGAGCTCTTCGCGCTTGAGGCTTCGAACCCTGAAGAGTATGATTAGCGGTTCCATTGCATCGGAAACTTACGCCAGTCCCTTCATGCTTGATAATGGCTTCTACCGGGGTTGAGGGCCGCAACCCCTTACACTATCCACGTCCAAATTTTCTCCTGCCCTGCAAGGTGACCCAGGAAATCTATGGGCTAACGCCGCTGATGTACTGGGTCTCCTGGGCAGGCTACTTCGGCATCGTTTCGCTGGTGTGCCTTGGGCTATGTTATGGGGTTTACCAAGTTTTTGCTGATTTTAGGTCTGCCTGAATGTCTATGGCACAGCTCGCCTTCGACACCCTGTTTGCATGCGGGTATGCTTTCAGATCGGGTTCCCCTGAAGATACCTGGTTTATCCAATTTTGGAATGGCACAGACGGAAGCTGCTCTGCAAGAGCCGCCAAGGTGCATGGTGCTGCTCTACTGCTCCTCGGATGGTTTGGGGTGCCCCAGATCGAGGCCTGGAGGATTCGAAGGCGTATTTCAAAGCAGCACTTCGCCTCTACACCGCCTGGACTTTTGATCCGCAAACCCCCTGGCCCTGGGAAAGGGAGTTATATTACACATGTCACAGCCAGCGTCCATTACGATAGGTACTGGTGCCATTGTGGCTTTTCGGATCAAGCGATTGCATTGGTTTTCTTGTCTCTTTGGTGGCAACGTATTCGGAATGTAGTGTGGCTTTTGAGACAGAGATGATGAGGCTAATGACGATATCAGCTGGTGTCGCTACTGCACTGTTGTTAACAATGGCCCTGTCAGTGTACTTAGTATGACCAATCCATGCCTGTTGTCTACTTTGTGCCGGCCAGCATGATAGTCGATTGCAAGCGTTGGTGATGCTGAGAAGCCATGTCAGCAGTGCATCAGCTGTGTTACCCTTCTTCGTAGGAAAGGGGCTGTTGTGGCCTGAAGCATGATTGCATCAGAGTTGTCCTCATAATTGCTCAGGGCAGCTAATGGCCTACAAAGTTGTGTGTTGCGTTGACTATCTCTTTGCCGCCGAATGCGGACGTGTGTCCACTATTGTTCGCACAACAACGGCGAGTTGACATGCACCGTCTCCACTGGAAATTATGCAGTTACTTCCTTCACTAGAATCGGATGTCCAGTTTATGCTAGCTTTTTTTTGTTGCCCCATCAGCGGCATCATCATACCCAATACTACAGGCCCTGATGCAAAGCCAGTCCTGGCAATCAAGCAAGTTGTAAGGAGTTGGTGAGCTAAAGCTGTGATCGCATTTCCGCCATGCAGTTACATGATCAACTTCAGGCAAGTATTGAGCGAACATGTGCTCAGCAGCATCTAGTTTTTGTGAAATATTCAGTCAATATGAATCAGCGAAGCTAAGACTTGTCTAGATAGCTGTGCGATGTCTTCTGGATGTTCATCATTGCAGTACTTCTATAGCTTCGTATGTTTAAACTTTTATCAGAGATGAACCTGGGTTCAGTGGAGTTGGTAGGTGATTAGTACTCGAAACAATGTTGGATGGGCACATAGAAGCTATCCGGGTTTGAGGGAAATGCGAAGCGAGATACGATTTATACAATGAGTATTTATTTGGAACTTCACAATAAATGACACTTAGCCATTGTTTTGTTGATGCCTAGTGCGAACATAGTTAGTACGTCTTCGTAATTTTGTTTGGTGTATGCCAACCGGCCAGGAATCAGGCTTTGTATTTGTACGTGGTGTGCGTATACTACAGTAAACATACATACATGCATGTCTGCATGCATGCATGCATACATACATACATATATATATATATATGTATATATATATATATATGTTTATATATATATATATGTTTATTTACTTGTATGTGCGTGTGTATTGTCCCGACTTTAAGTATAGCACAGTATTCCCCCAAGCCCTATTTTCTTCATTCAGGCCCGTGTATGACTGCCCTGTTACCAAGGTTTGTTTACCCTCGCTGCGCCGATGGTTTCAAATTCAAACCCGCTCTTCGTGCTTTTTGTGATGGCACTGTCGCTTGGTTGTTGTTTTCAGAGCGCTCTACACCAAGCAGCAGGGCCCGACCGGATTCTGAATCACAATGCCAGACCCAATGAACCCAATGCCCTTAACCGGATAGCTCGCAACCCTCTCACCCGAAGCCCTAAACCATAAACAGCAAGAAGCCCGTAAACCTCAACACTTAGCCCTGTACGTAATTCACCGAACCTGAAGCGACCAACCACATCCTTCGTTCAGCTCCTTAGTACGTTGCTTTGGGCTGTTGAGCCATGCGTTGCAGACTTGCAGACCCCACACTTTCAACTTGAAGCTCAAACATCTAGCTTGAGGGGTGAGGGCTAAAGGAGTAGGTACAGTAAGGGTTTCCCTGAGAGAAGAGCCCCCCACCCACCATGCCATTGCATGATGCAGCGAGGTCGTACATGCAGCAACTGGAATTTGCTGCCATCATCGCCGTGTTCTTCAACAGGACTCAGGCGGCATCAGCCGCAGCCAGCTTCCCGGTCTGATTCCGCGAGTGACACCTAGTTGTCGCGAAAGACCAGCCAAAACCCTATCCTGAGCCTATGCTTTTTTGATATTATGGGTCGAAAACGCCCGTGGTATATGAGGACTTCTGAGTTTTGTGTCAGGATGTTGCAATCTTCCATAAGAGCTGTTGCGGGGTATGTTTCTCCAAGCAGATGGGGTTCTTGTGCATGCACCGTAAAGGGATTCAGGCACCCGCGGGGTTCCACAGCTCCCGCTTCACGAGCAGATGTGCCGGCCATTTCCCATGAGCATTTTGGGTTTAGGGATTTAGGGTTTAGGGTTTAGGGTTTAGGGATACTTTACATCGGCTTCATGACTCG